GCGAGGTTTCACTTGCGGGTCTCTCAGAAGAGTCTAATATGTACTGATCCTCCCTTCTTATACAAAAGCTCGACATCGTCCTAGAAGACTTTACTTACCTTCATCTATGAAGGTAAGATCAGATAAGAACACCCCCAAATATGGTAGTATAGGCTCACTGGCGGCGGACTTTGAGGCCGGGAGTGCGATAGCAGTTCGGTACTTAAGGAAATTGCCTTTGCTGTTCATAAGCTCGCTCATCTCAGAGTAGTCTTGTACCAGCCGTGCGGGGAGAGCCTATTTATAGATAGTTATAAATAGAACAGTATAAATATATTACTCATTAATAGAACAGTATTGATATAGTACTCTGTGGAGAGAGTCTATTTATAAAATGTTATAAATAGAACAGTTTAAATATATTACACATAAATAGAACAGTATTGATATAGTACTCTGTGGAGAAGGTCTATTTATATAATGTCATAAACAGAATAGTATTAATATATTACTCATAAACGAACAGTATTAATATATTGCTCATAAACGAACAAGCACATAGTTAAAATGCCACACAACCATAGATACTGTTAACTAACATATGCTATTAACTATGCAACCTAACTATTAACTAAGATACTCACATACATGCACATATACTATGTTAACTAACATACGCAACACAACCATTAACTAAGATAGTCACATACATCCACATATACTATGTTAACTAACATACGCAACACAACCATTAACTAAGATAGTCACATACATCCACATATACTATGTTAACTAACATATGCTACTAAGTATGAAACACAACTATTCACTAAGAAAGATACTCGCATACATCCACATATACGTCCACTGACAGCAGACAACATTCTTCACTACAACAGCAACCACAGTCCATTCATCACAGAGGTATCAACCTATACACTTGGGTTTAGGGGTTTTCGGGTTTAGGACCCTAATACACATATCCCTTACCTTCCAGGTGCGTTTAAGACGGGACACGCCTGCGCTATTGAGTACAGACATTATAGCCACTGTGGTGTGGAAGTCCTTGATACTGGCGCTCTCCTTGGCGGTTAGAATCCCTGGGAGTATCGAGCAGTTGGGTTTAGG